TTTATGACACCTAAAATCAATCACTTTTGAATAAAACTTTGTTCAAGCCAAAGTTCGCCTAAGATAATTTATTACTTCCTACTTTGGATTGTCCTCTATATTCTTCATTTTCATTCAATCTTATTTCCTCTATTTCCATTTCAGATTTGGGTAGCATTTTCAACCTTATTCTAATGAAAACCGATGTTAATATTACTAAACAAAATCTTTGCATAATGTTTGGCTACAAAGTATTTACCCTGTCACAGTTTTTAACGACTTTACGTAAACTTTTATAGCAAAAATAAAACATCCATAAACTCCGTGTGTACCAATACCAGAAATTTATATTTTAAACAATATTTGTAACCTTGGCCATTTTTTTCGGACAATTAAATACAAAATCGATATTTTTAACGCAATTATTTTTTGAACTAAAATGTGACAAATCGCCTAAAAATCAACAAACTACAAAAACGAATGCAAGTATAAAATTTTAACAAAATCCCACAGAATTTGCACTAGTGAATGGACAAACAATGATGAAACCTGGTTTACAAATTCTAATAGCTCAAAATTATTTATATTAGCTGTAATATTATAACATTTTCGTGAAAAATAGATTATTTTGTTAAATAAATTAATTAATTAAAGTAATTTCGTTAAAAGTTTCAGAGGAAATCAGAAAAGAAACTACATAATTCATTAAAACATCTTTTTTCTCCAGTATGTCTCCGGATGGAGTTTACAAGAGGAAAACATTTTTTATCTTTAATTTTACACCAAAACTGAAAACAAAAAACATTTTTTGCTTTACCTGAAACGAATTAAAACTTCATTATTCTAACTCAGTAAAAAGAAAAGTTCATTTTTTCTTGATTTTGGACATATAGTTGTCAAATAAATAAAACCACCAATGTATAGGACTTAAAAAGCAGAGAAAAATTAGTCTAAAATCAAGAGAAAAAATGTTTTTGTTCGTTTCAGGTGAAGCAAAAAAGTTTTTCCTTCCCAGTTTTGGCGTAAAATCAAACATAATGTTTTTTTCCTCTTGTAAACTCAATCTAAATAAGTAAAATATCATTGTTTTCTTTGGTAATAACAGATTTATTAAGCGAGAAAGTTTTAGTTGGGACAAGTTGTATATTTGCTAGGTCATGCAACATGGGACACGAAAATCGATTGCAACCTCCCAGTGCAGTCAGCTATGTAATGTGTGATTTTGAATAATCAATGCAAATTCATGCCTACATGCAACAATAGTTTCACGTAATTAAAAAATCAATATTTGCATACAAATTTCATTGCGTTAGAATTATTCAGAACACAAATACGGAGATATTTTGTCCATCTCAACAGTTTTATCACAACTTATCTAATCTAACACAAATGTAATATACAATAGTGGTAGAGAACTAGCAACTAAACGCCGTTTGTAATTTATTAATACAGTCAAGGCGAAAATTTACAAATTCAAACTTTAATAGAAATATTATACAAACATATGATTACAAACTTGACAGTGAAGTATGATCGAAAAAATTGTAATAAATTCCATTGCGACATACCTGTGAAGGAGGCAAGTTATCCGTTGGTTGTGGCATTTTGGAAAAACACAAAACTTAAAACAACAACACAAAAAATACGGAAAAACAAAATAAATGAAAGTTAAGTAAGGCCCAACTTGAAGAATACCATCACCTTCTCCACTCCCATACAGCTACAAACCAACTAAACTGGAATTAGTGTTTCGTGAATCATTCGTGGACTCGGCTACAGATCGTGGAACTGAGCATGCACACAAACATTTATTGATCATGCTGTAGAGTGGTTTTTCTATACGACCAGAACTGGCTATTTGGACACTTCTGTTCCGTATGGTCCAGAGTAGAAGTCGCAGGCAGCATCCGTGACCACAGTTTATTGCATTTTTAATTGGATCATTTGTACTTTTTTCTGTCATTCATACAATGAATGGATGTTAGCAACTTTTTGATTTTTAATTTTGGCGGGGTTTTGCAACATGCAAACGGATTTGAGTCCTACAGGTGTTCCGTTTTTATTGTCACAAACTTAAACAGGTGATAGAATATTCAATTTTAAGACAAAAGTTTCCTATGAAGATGTATCAAAAAATGTCACGTAAGCGAGCAACACCCCCTGAAAGAGTTGCGTTTTTAATGGCGTTTTCTCACTATTGCAGAATAGATAAAATTACAAGAGTTGGTACAGCTGATCACTTTTAAACACCAGTTGTCGAAATTTTTAATCACGGGTTTCTTAAACGGTGATACAAATTTAATTTTTAATTTTTATCCTCTTTGTGTGGACAAATTGTAAACTGATTTTACTCAAAAACGAAAGAGACCTCTTTTTGTGAAAAACTATGAAATTTAGAATTTTGTGGCTGAAACTGGCAAAAACCATTTTATCTTTGGAATCATTTGGGTGTATAAAGGTTATCAGTTGTACCAAATTTTGTAATTTTATCCACGATGGTTTCTGAAATAGTGGAAAAAATCCATTAAAAGATGCAACCCTTTCAGGGGATGTGGCTTCCTTATATAAAAATTTTCGATATATGTTTATAGGAAACTTTTATCTTAAAATTGAATATTCTATCACCTGGTTAAATTTGTAACAATAAAAATGGAACAGCCTTGTATACCAAGAAGTGTAATCTTGAGATCACATTTGAGTCTTGAGACTCAAATTCAACCCTAAACAGTAATTAGCATGAGAAAGGTACTAATACTACCAGTGGCGGATCCAGGAATTAATTTTGGGGGGGGACTATCTAAAATTTTTTAGTATGATGAGGGTATACAGTGAGCGGCAAAATTATATAATAATCTTATTAAAACTGAAAATATTTTGTTTTGGCAAAAATGCGCGAACAAGTCAATTTTCTTTTTAAAAAATGTTTTTTATTGATATTAATTTAGTTTTTGAATATTTTTTTTGTAAAACTTTATGTAATACATAATATTTTGGTGTTGCCATTTCGACAATCAAAAAATCTATCGACTTGGCTAAAAAAAATTAGGGGTTTCCATTAAAAAAATAAGAAAATTACAATTGATGATTTCTTTTTAAATTAATAAAGACTAAGTAAGTATCGGGAGATCAAGATAATTTCTAATCGACTCGTCCTTGTATCCGAAAACGTATGTCCTGTGCGTATGTCTGTGAAACGTCAAATAAAATGACAAGTGGATAGGAAAAAACCCATGATCAAAAAATGATGCTTTTAATAACTAAATTTATTATTTAACTTCAAAAAAGAACGGTCTTATCATTATACGTCGTTTTACCTTTCGACTTGTCATTTTATTTGACGTTTCACGTGCAGTTAGTTCAAAAACAGACATACGTATATACGTTTTCGGATCCAAAAATGACTCTATTACAAATTATTTTGATCTCTCGGTATATGTATGATTTGTATTAATAACTGTGATTTAAAGAATTCTAATGTTTTCATTAAAAAAACTTTAGATCATAAGGTTTTTATATTAAAATTTAAATATAAAAAATTGAAGCTTTCGGGGGCAAATTTGGGCACCTATGCCCCTCCCCTGCATCGGCCCTTGAATATTACTAATTAATAATACATAATTATACTCGTTTTCATATTAAAATGCATCGAAGTAGTCATTGAAAGGTGGCAACCATGCAAAAATTCAATCAATCCTAACCTCAATCTTCCCTAAAAATTATTTTTTTAAATAAATGCGTACCCCAAGTAGCAAAAAGTAATTAAAATTAACAACGTAATTAACATAACATTGCAAACATAAAGATTTTTGCCATTATTGATGTGATTCAATTTGTTCTGAATGAAATTAATGGCACTTTTTGTGTGAATTGGCCTTTAAATTTCTACAACCTACTTGATGTACAGTTGCGGAATTAAAATTTCGGGCAGTATTTTTCTGTCATTTTAAAAAGTTTACTGTAAACCACCTTTTACTGTCATCATGACTGACATTTGACAATTAAACTTTTTTTGTTGTAAAAATTGTTAATTGAACAATTTGTCTGTCTTAGGAAATTTATTAATTGAACAAGTGTGATTAAATCATGGCTTTGATTTGTTATTATGCAACAAATCACTATTTTTCAAAGTAAGTCAAAATGACATAAACATGACAAGAGTAAAAAATGAGGTTGATAATGTAAAGGTTGTTTTAGAGTTTACGTTTATGAAAAAGACAATACTGCCCGAAATTTTAATTCCGCAACTATACATTAACATAAGTAGTTAGGGGAAGGTAGGGGTTATTGTGCACAATATGTCTTTTGTTTTCAAATTTTTTTTTATTTTACGTGTTTCGGCTTGAATCCGTTTTTTAACATAATACTTTTTATATTCATTTTTATAAAGAAATTGTTTTTTAATGTTTTTATTATTGAAATATGTTGTAAAACAAGAATTGATTATTAAATGTAGTATTTTTTATAACAGCGCAATGCTTTTTAATATAAATATATTTTTTTTTAGTTCTGGTTTCTGGTTGATTTATGTATTCATAATTCTCGATGCAACCAGCATTACATTTTTGCAACTTTTTTGCGACTGTTATAATATATTTTTGTAAGGAGTTTTTGTAAGAAGTAAGGAGTTTATGTCTTTTAAACTACTTGTATACTATAACACAAATAATTTACCTTGATTCAAGGACTCCAAGGCTTTAAATACGCAGATTACTCTACAAGACTGAATTCTTGTCGCAAAAACTATTCTGTATATTTAAATTTTCTTAACAGTATTCTGTCAAATGTCTTGAAAAAGATAGATTTACACAGAAATCAAAACATGTGGGTCCATTTTCAGAGATGTAGGACGCTATTTAGACTATTTTGCCTACAAGAGTGTAATGTTGGTTGCATCAAAATTTGGTCAGATTATAACTTCTTGTAATTTACTTTGTATTATTATGCTACAAATTTCCTAATTGTAAGCATTGCAAATTTTAAGACGTCACAAAATTTTAATTTATTTTTAATTTTGAATTTGACGAAAAGTAACCACAAAATGTGACAAAAGTGTAAATTCAGCGGGTGATTTCAAAACACCCAAATGTTACCACCAACCTAAGAGAACACAATAAACAACCCTTTGATTCGTTTTGTGATTTTCTTGTTTTCAATATATTAAAAAATATATAATTAACACAGAACAAAAACACCAAATATAAAAAAAATGTTTTATTTTGTTTTTTTTAAGTAAAAATAAATTTAACAAAACGTAAAAAATAATAATGGCAGTGTTGCCCACCATGATATTTAAAGTGCGCGTGCGTAAACCGGAACCTAACCTAAAGTAATTTTTTATTTACAATTTTTTTTAGTTGATTTAAATAATAAACACTGCGAAATGCATACAATGCTAAAAGGAGCTTTTCTTGCACTCAGTGCAACTGCAATTCCCGTGATTTTGAACTACTTAATCAAACGAAGACACAAATTTAAGTTGAAAAAACTACAAGATGAAAAGTGGGAACAAGACCGAAATTATTACCATTGCATTTTTATAACTATGAAAAACATGAAATGTTTAAGTCATTTCAATAGTGGCGCAGAATGTGAAGATGATAATTGTTCAATCACACATTTAAACACACTATTGAGGTTCCTAGGATCAGCAAAATACTCCATATCTTTGTGCATGTATATGCTCACATTGAGACAAGTCACTGATGAACTAATTAAAGCCGAAGATCGAGGAGTTAATGTTAGAATAATCACCGACAATGTCATATTCAAAATGCAAAATTCAAAGACCAAATTACTAAAAGAAAAATTTGGTTAGTAAGCATTTTTATGATTATTTTGTAACAAAAACAAATTGTAGGTTTTGATGTTCGAACGCCCCCTTATGAAGACTCATTCATGCATCACAAGTATTGCGTAATCGATGCTGAAGATCCAGACTTGAAAAAAATGTTCCTAGGCTCTTTAAACTTAACAGTCCAAGGATGTGTAAAAAACTTTGAATTTGTATGCATAACAAACAATCCATGGATGCTTAACCGATATAATGACGAATTTGAGTCACTTTGGAATACTTTTGAAAATTCAACCCTAGTTTAGAGATGTTTACTTTAAATAAAATTACAAATACATTCTCTGGTGTGCAGTAATGAAATCAAACAATGCTAAATATTAGCACCCATTTTATTCTTCTAAATCTAAATCGTTTAATTCTTCATCTAAAGCTTCTAAATCTTCCTCAAGGAACAAATTTTCATTGATGGGTACCGCTGATGCGCCTTCTTCATTCCCATTTTCTGTTATTTTTGTTGCCTTGAGTCGGTCTTCAGTGGCCACGGTACCACTCCCATCGACCTAAAAAAAAAATAAAGACAAAAATTCAGTAAATTTTACTAGTCTATTCTAAACGCAAAATAGAAAAACTTACCTCCTCAGCACTAATAAGATCTAAATTGATTTCTTTATAATCCACTTCATCGTCTTCAGTATCTGAGTAATTGTAAGAATCAACCGCTTCATCGCCCTCTTCCATGTTATTTTGCGCCGCCAATTCAGGATTAAAACTAAACATTTCTCTACCACTGAGCCCCACTTGTTTCCCTGCCTTGAAATCTGTACGTTTCTTGTCCTCTTCCCGCTTAGCAGCGTCTTTTTTCTCCTAAGAAAACACAAATTAATTGTGTGACAAATTTAGGTTAAATCATACTTGGATTTTACGTTTTTTCCACGCTAAAAATGTTTCTAGTGTGACTTTAGTTTGAGTGGAGCCTAGGGCTGCCCTCTCTTTTTCAATCAAGTCTTCTAGGGATATTTCATCACGTTTGTCGTCTTTTTTCTTGTCTTTCTTTAACGTGAAACCTGGAGGGAGGGCATGTCTGTAAATACAGCCCTCTCCAGAGGGGCACTGCCAAAACCACCCATACTTTGACTTTTCTACAGCTTCCAGGAAATGTTTACAGATCTAAAACTCGATAATTACACACAAGTCATGGTAGGCTGCGATCGAAAAATGATAAATTAGAGTAGGCGACGATTAATTTTCTACAGTTGGCAACAATTTTCCACCCAAACTGGAAGTTTTTTGGTCTTGTAATAACTTGCAACAATATACTTGTTTTCAAATTATAGTCGTTGAAAAGGATCATTTTAAGGTGGCAATCATGCAAAAATTCAAACAATCCTAACGTCAAATTTCCCTACAAATTATTTTTTCAAATAAATGTGTGCCCCAGGTAGCAAAAAAAAAATAATTAGAATTAACAACGTAATGAAGATAGGGTAGCAAACATAAATATTTTTGTCATTATTAATGGCTTAAATTTGTTCTGAATGACATATTAATGACACTTTTTGTGTAAATCAGCCTTTAAGTTAAAGATTCATTTAGACTACTACAACCTACTTGATATGAAAAAGAGTATAAAAATCAATAAACATTATTTCACTCAAAATGAATAAAACGTAATCTTGTCGTTTCCGTTGACATTTAACGTCAAAAATCAGGATTGCCACCTGAAGGATTTAATCACCGCCTACTCTGATTTATTTATTTTTTCTTACAATTTCCGTCGTGGGCATTTTCCCCGACTTTCCGTGCTTCTTTTCTATCACTTCCATCAACTTTTGTTCGTCCCAATTTTCCATTGTTTCGTCCTCGTCGTCTCGCATATCGACATAAAGCGACCGTTTTTCCGCTTTTCTTTCTATACTCAAGTCATGGGAAAATTTGCACTTATCACCTTTGCCACACTGGCCCTGTTTGAAGAACGAACAAACCACAGACTTGGGATCAGTTCCTGCAACAAATCAGTAAATTTGAAACAATAAAACGCGAAAAATAACCTTTCTCAACTTTCTGCGTCTGCACGGTCTTGAATAAAATAGCCATTTCCTTCTGCTCCTTCAACTTCTTCTCCTTTTCGGCCTTCTTGCCCCCATCTTCTTTGACAGGATGGTGGCCCCCAGTTTTGACCTGTTTCTCGACTTGTTGGATGAATTTCTGCTGCTTGGCCCCTTTCTTATTCTTTAAACCGAACGTCTTGTCCTAATGGATTTTCAAATTTTGAATTCAAAATTGAGATAAATAAAAAATCATTACATATGTACCTCAATCACTTTTTCTTTCTTTTTCTGCTCCGTTTTCTTGCTAGGTGCGGCCGGTTTAGTCTTAGGGGGCATTTTCACAATTGTAATTTTAACTAAGGGAATTAATAAGTGTCTCAAAGGAAACGAAAAATATTTCGTTTCTTGAACTTCCACATGCACGATGACAGGTCGCTTTGACAGACAATTTTGACAGAAAAATAAGTCAAGCTTGCAACATAACGAAAAATTGCGGAAAAAATCAATTAATCAATAAAATTGGGTTTTGGCACGAAACGCTGTCGGACGTTTCACGCATTTTGCAAAAAGCGTGAAAAACGCATTTTTTTAAGTTTTGATATTTTATTTCTTCTTTTGCACTCTTTGGTTGGTTTTGTGTGGTTGGCTGCCTTTGTTTATAAATTCAATTGATCGAAGAAAATGGCCGTTGATTTTGCGTTTGTGATCATATGTCAAACAAATCAAAAATAGTGGTGAATAACAAAGTGTTGCGTTTTTATTAGTCTCTTGGATGCATAACCGATGTTTAGGCGTCAATTCAAGTGTAACCAATGAACTGAAACTTTGAAATAAAAAATGATTGTACAAGAACCCGTGCAGGTAATATAGTTAACCTCTTCCAAATATTGATGCTGAAACGCCTTATTTTCAGGCTGCCATTTGGCATTGTTTGAACCACTACGACTACACGGACGCTGTGTTCTTATCAGAACGATTGTATGCTGAAGGTATGCTCGGACTTGATCAAAACTGTCTCTTATATTCGTTTTTTCAGTAAAATCGGACGATAGTCTGTTTCTATTGGCCACTGCGTACTACAGAAGTGGCCAGAAAGACCACGCATACCACATTTTGAAAGAACGCACTGATGCTTCGACTCAGTGCAGATATTTGTTTGGAATTTGTGCTTATGATCTCGAAAAGTAAGTTTGAAAAGTCACCTGGCATTGAAAGGGAATTTCTCTAATAAAAATATCATTGGAAACTGAAATTAGAGAGGTTACAGATTACAGAGAACTACGACGAAACCAGATCAAAAAAAAAATAAATTAGAGTAGGCGGTGATTAAAGTCCTTCAGATGGCAATCCTGATTTTTGACATTAAATGTCATCGGAAACTTTGACAAGTTTGCGTTTTATTCATTTTGAGTGAAATAATGTTCACATTAGAACAGAAAATTTTTATTGTTGCAAGTTATTGTACAAGACGAAAACGGTGAATCGTCATTTTCACTTTCAGTTTTCCAGCCCAGATTCCCACCCAACGTGTTGCCAACTGTAGAATATTAATCGTCGCCTACTCTAATTTATTTTATTTTTTTTGATCGCACGGTACAAAATTAGTAAAAATGAGGGCGCTTAGAGTGTTTTTCCGTCTGTTTCAAATCGTTTTAAATTAATTCAAATTCAACAAGTCTACTAATTATTTGGAAAAAAATGCAAAAAAGTCGAGCTTTTCATTCTTAATAAGCTGTGAAGAACGAACGACTAAATTTTTTACGAGAAATATGAGAAAAAAAGTATTTCAAATTTAAAATCTGTGCTCCGTTTCATGTTTTTCAAAATGCTACGAAAACGGTTGAAGATACAAGAAAAATGTAAGAAAGAAAGTTGTAGAGAATAAAATTTTCTAGTTAAAAGTCCGCGGGACTAATGGTTTAGGCCTCAAAGACGTTCAAATTTATCAACAAAGTTCATGTTATTGTTGTAATTTTTCACAACATCAGGACATACCACTCATATCTCAAAAAACTAAGAATAATACGAAATACAGTTAGTAAAAATGCAAAATTTTATCAATGTAATGTTAAGCGAAAGTGGTTACTTAAATAGTCTGGAAATGCTCAATGACGTCACGAAGCCTACTAGTCGAAATAGGAAAGTATTTGCCTTATAAACCCAAGGATCGAAATTCTAATCCCAATGAAAGAAAATTATTTTTGTTTTGTTTTTTTCCTCTTTGTATTTATAATAATCATTATTCATTATGTGTATATTCTCAAAAAACAATTCAATTTTTTTTTAAATAAAATAAGTATCATATAAATGTAGGTATTTCAAATTAATTAATAAATTGTATAGTTTTCATAATAATTTTAAGTTCATTGATTGTAAATAAAAAAATGTGGTAAACTCTTCAATAATAATGTTTGTATTATTAAAAATATTACCATTAATGAGCAAAACTGCTCAAAAATACAAAATGTATGTCGTTGAGTTGTTCAGAACTTTACTTGGGTTTAAAAAGTTGAATTAACTTAGACGTTTTTTGTTCAAAATTTTAATTATTAAAAGTACTTTTGGTGAACAATATCGATTTTTTTCAAGAATAAATCGTCACTTTTAAAAATGTATGTCGATCAGGTGTTCAAAACTTTACTAGAATTTAAAAAAATAGGATCAATTTAGACGTTTTTCATTCAAAACTTTTATTATTAAACCTACTTTTGATGAAAAATATCAATTTTAAAAATTTACAGTATTGGGGGAAAATGTCGAATTTTTTTCAAAATTTTTGTTATTAAACGTACTTTTGATGAAAAATTTTGAACTATTTTAAATGATATTCAAAAATAAATTGTCATTTTTCAAAATGCATGTCGCTGAGTTGTTCAGAACTTTACTAGGGTTTAAAAAATTGGATCAACTTAAACGTTTTTTGTTCAAAATTTTTATTATTAAACGTAGGTACTTTTGGTGAAAAATATCGAATTTTTTCAAAGTTTTTGTTATTAAACTTACTTTTTATAAAAAATTTCGTATTCAAGAATAAATCCTTACTTTTAAAAATATATGTGGATCAGGCGTTCAAAACTTTATTAGGATTTAAAAAATTAGGTCAATTTAAAGATTTTTTATTCAAAATTTTCATTATTGAACGTACTTAATGAAAATATCAATTTTTAAAATTTTCTCTTTTGAAAAATATCGAATTTTTTCAAAATTTTTGTTATTGAACATACTTTTCATGAAAAATTCGAACTATTTTATGTTATTCAAATAAGTCGTCACTTTTCAAATTAAGGTGAGTTAAAAAGGTGGGTTAAATTTTAACCCACCGTTTCTGAAAAAGTTAAGTAATTGCTGAATGTTTGAAATTTTCTTAAATATACAGAGTGCGCCAGAACTCGCGCCCCAGAGAAAATTTTCAAGTAAGGTAAGATACCAGGAACATGAAAAAAATGTTAAAAAATTATGTAAAATTAATATATGTTTTTTTTACAATTATTTAGTAAAGGGACAAAAATTTTGCCAATAAAAGCCACAAATAACATTGAACAGAGTTACAATTTAGAAGACAGCTTCCTTGTTTCCTCTTTTAATAGCCTATAGCAAAATTATTTTTCCAACAGAAATAAATAGAGTGAAAGTGCAAACTTTAAACCCTCATAACTTCGAAATTTTTATAGATAAAATTTTTTTAACATTTTTTCCATGTTTCTGGTATATTACCTTATATGGCATTTTTCTCTGGGGCGCGAGTTCTGGCGCACCCTGTGGTTTTTAATAAAAATTTTACATTGCTTTTATCTCTTATTATTGAGAATTTAATGCTCTATCTGTCTGTATTTTTTTATTTGCGTTTTGCTCAGCGTTTTGCTCTTAAAACTTAAACGGGAAAGAAACAACTGCGCTATCTGGCCTCACTAACGGAACTATCGAAAACTGGGGACGTTTTATTTTAAATTGTGTCGTATCCTAGACCATTTTTCCAAACTTGGGCGCTAATTTTCTTTGGGACACCCTGTATAATTACCACTCTAGTTTCGTATTTTTTTGCAGATATGCTGAAGCTGAGGCGGCTTTGTTGCACTCAAATAAAACGAGTAATGATTCGGAAAATTTCGACGACATCACAACAGAATACGGTGATCAAGCCCCATTCGCTTTGAATTTATTGGGTAATATAGCTGCCAAAACCGAGAGAAAACCTCGTGCCATAGATGCGTGGAAACGAGCCTTAAAACTAAATCCATTTCAATGGTCCATTTTTGAAAATTTATGCAAAATAGGAGATAAACCAAACCCACAAAATATTTTTCAAATAACAGGTGTTGAAAATTTATCAATGTGCCAGGGAAGTAATATTAACAATATTGAAAGTGTTGTTATAACAAACAACAATTCAAATCAAGATAATCAAGAGACATATGCGACGACTCCACAACAGATTCTTGTGAATTTTAGTCCGAATGTTGTAACTTCGAATTCGAAATTGTGTACGCCGGATGAAAATCCGACAGTTGTGCAAAATGTGTGGCTGTCGGGGTTTGCCCCTTTCACGTCGAGGACCAAGGCGCTGAGATTTCGGATGGATTCCACCAGCAGTGTAAGTTAATACCGATTTAAGGGCCCCCTTAATATTTTTTTTTATAAAAAATTGCTTTTCCTACTATTACACATCAAATGAAAATTTTTTTACTTTTCTCGGAAGGTGTGTTTTCATAACCGTATTTTTTTCTTTATTTTCTGTTTTTAAAATTTAAGATTGAGTTTTGAAATTTTAAAATAACATGAAAATTACATTTTTTAAGACCGGTGTGTTGGCAAATTATTATAAATGTATGATTTTATTGACATAATTAATACTTCTAAAGAAGGTATTTTTATAATCTGCTTAGATTCTCAAATTCATTCGTTTTCTTTGTTCTATCGAGTGTCTTCTTTTTGTTTTCTTGTGTTCTTCCTCCGCTTTTTTGTGCTTAAAATCTGTCTTTTTCAAGAAATAATTCTACTTTATTAGTTTGAAAGAGCTAATAGAACATAATTACAATAAAAAAATATACTTACATAATAAACAAAAACAACAGCTTCAACAATAACAAAAAGTTGTATTTGTTATGTGGCAAATTTAGTAAAAACACTGAAACACTAGTAGAAATCCATAGTCGTGGAAATGTTTGAAAATATCACACGTCACATAAAATAACTAGCTTAGTACTCCAATTAAAAAAAAAATTCTGAGTTCATTAATCTTTAACTGATTTTCTTGAAATTATTAATATTTCTGTAATTCATTGTAAGTGAGCTACCGTTGGCAAAAAAACACAAAAAAATGTGCTTTTGTTTGAGAATTTGTATTTTTTTTGGCCATTTTGAATCAGAAAATTGTTCATTACGGCCCTGATATGGTTCAAATTGTTCTTAATTTTGCAATGATTGTACATAAAAAAACTGTGGAATTATGTGCACTTATATGAACATTTGAAATTACTTTCGAAGATTTATTATATTAAATTTTTTTGAAAGATTTGCCAAATAAAGGCTAATCAAAAAGCAAAAATTGAGCAAAATACAAATTTTAGTACACAATCAATGTACTAAATACACAGTTTTATGTAAATTTTACAAAAATATCAAACTTTGACAGTTTGGACATTTGATAGTAAAGAAAATTAATTAACGTTTATTCTTCAAATAATTATTTTTTTTTGCCAATAAAATCAAAGAAGGCGATTTTTTAAACAAAAATTTTAATTATTGTTATTTTTCTTGTCGAAAAATATAAGACGTTTTCTGATTGGTTGATTTTAAAAGGCGTATCGGCTAAGGATCGACCAATGACACTCAACTTTAACGAATTAAATATTTTTTTACTTTTTATTGGTCCAATAATCGAAAGTGCATGATTCGTATTGGCTCTGGGGTTGGCTCCACCCATTGTGCAAAACTAGATCCAATTAAAGTAAAATAACCACACTAAATGCTGATTTGTTATAAAAATTCGATTAAGAAATAAAAACCGGTTTGTTCTCACCTTAGTGGTAATTACGTGAATGGGAAATGATTATTATTGGCCCTTATAATTGGACCAATTAATTTACAAATGTGTCCAACCAATCAAATTCAAACCTCACCTCACCGAATGCCATAAAATAACTGTTTTAATTCAATTCGAATTTGCTTTGAAAAAGACGCAAAAATAATGAATTTAAATTAATTTTTCCAATTAGCCACGAAAATTAATGTTAATTTTTTTCTCAGTGGATTCGAAAAAAATACACATTAAAGTCTTCATATGACTTTTAAAATGATAAATTTAAATTTGTTTCCTCAATTGGCTTTGAAAAATGCATATCTTGAATGATTTTCATCTAGCCAGCTGTGAATTTCCTATGTAAAAAATCGCCGTTTACTAAGCGTCCACTTCGAAAATAGACTTCAATTATAAACTTGATTTCTTCTAAAGTATAGGTACATCATTATCAGTTATTATTGGAAATTAGTTGAAACAATAAAAGTTCAATTAACAACAATTTATAATTAATTAATAAGTGACACTAATGACAGAACTAGAGTTTTCAAAAAAGTAGAGCGGCACAAATAAAGTTCCAAAGCTGACTAGATGAAAATCATTTATAACCACTCTGTATAAATGTCAAGTTCTCATTCCCCAAAAAAAAAAAAGAAAATATATGTTTTTTTATATATGTTTTAATTTTGCAGGTGTGCATGAAACTCGAATTTTTTTTGACTAGAAAAATTTCTTTGCAGCCTAGTCCTCAGCCGAGCTTTGGCCACTTCTTGGACACCTCCCCCGACGGTTATTTCAGCACTCCAAATCTCCTATCCCAGCCAAAACTGACCGAATCCAACAACCACCACCAATCATTGGCAAAAAGAATGAAAGCACAAGTGGACCAATTCATCAATCGCAAAGAACCGATCCTCCAAAACTGTAAACCATTATTTAGCCAATCGACAAACGTAACCAAAACCCCAACGATATCACTCCCACCATGTCAAAATGTCCGACGTAGTTCACGTCTATTCACAAACAGTTATTCAGTCAAAGAAAACAACAAGTCACCAAATCGAACAAAATTCGCCACACCAAAATCGCCATCGCGAAAAACCAAACAACGTATGGCGAAATGCAATTTAAATAAAACAACAGCTTATACGGAACTCAATACACGAAATCGCATCGAGAAAGAAAAAACCGAAACGGTAACTTCCACCGATGCAAAAAACGAAAAAAGTGCAATAAGTAATAATAGTATAGAGAGTTGTGTCCAACAAGCGATTTTGATGCAAAAACAGAGCGCCGAAGGGCTGATGGTACTCTTGAGGAGTTTAGGCGAGGCATATTTACATTTATCGAATTTTAATTGTAAAGCTGCAATTGAAGAATTGAATGCATTACCACCGAATCAGTTTCAAACAGCTTGGATTTACTGTTTGCTCGGACTCGCCTACTTCGAATTGACTGATTACGAGTCTTGTATAAAATATTTCAGTAAAGTACATAATCTTGAACCGTACCGGATACAGTTCATGGATATTTATTCAACGGCTTTGTGGCATTTACAAAAAGAGGTGGCCTTGTCAGCCTTGGCTCAAGACCTCATCAATATGAACAAAAACTCACCGGTCACGTGGTGTGTCAGTGGCAATTGTTTTTCCTTGCATAAGGAGCATGATACTGCGATTAAGTTTTTCCAAAGGGCTGTTCAAGTCGATCCTCGGTTTCCCTACGCTTATACTCTCCTCGGGCATGAATATATCACGACTGAGGAGCTCGATAAGGCAATGAGTTGTTTCCGAAATGCCATAAGACTGGACCCAAGGCATTACAATGCCTGGTTTGGTATCGGAACGATTTACTCGAAACAGGAACGATACCATTTGGCCGAAATAAATTACTCGCGAGCTTTGCAAATAAACTCGCAGAGTTCGGTGATACTTTGCCATATTGGGATAGTTCAACATGCCTTGAAACAGACCGAGAAGGCATTGAAAACGTTTAATGTAGCTATAGCGAATAATCCGAAGAGTCCTTTGTGTAAATTCCACCGAGGATCGATTTATTTCGCCCTTGGGAGACATGCAGAAGCGTTGAAGGAGTTGGAGGAGTTGAAGGAGATCGTTCCCAAAGAGTCCCTAGTTTACTATTTGATAGGCAAAGTTCATAAGAAGTTAGGAAATACGGATTTAGCGTTAATGCATTTTAGTTGGGCGACGGATTTGGATCCGAAAGGGGCGAGTAGTCAGATTAAGGAGGCGTTTGATCCGTCTATTGGACGTACTTCCTCCACGGAATCGACGACTTCGCCCCCTGTTGAGGAGTTTCTCGGAGATAGAAGGCCGAGTTTGCAGCCGGAAGCGCTAAATTTTGGGAATCTTCCAGATGATAGCGAGGATAGTTTCTAGTAAACACCAATTTCTACGGTTGAATTGCGACGATTTTGTTTATTTGAAGGAATTTTCATTTCTGTGGAAGAGTTGGTTATTAATAAATTGTGGAATTGTGTAAAGATGTGTTCGGTTTGTCATTAAATGATATAAGAATTGTATGATTTTCAGTACTGATGTATATTTTTAATCCCTTCTTACGTGTACATTCTACTTTAAGTTTGAATCGGTAGAGTTTATTTTATTTTTATACCACGTACGTCTCTGTTCATTGTGTATAGTTTACAATTTCTATAATATTTATGCTGATTAAAATTGAAAAAACGTCGAGTAGCACATTTTATTTGTTGAATCCATGATGCAATTACACCACACCAAGATTTTTAAACATTTCGCCTCCTAAAATACGAATCCTTTAAAAGTGTTTACAACTTTCACATTGTGGGGGCTTTACAACACTTCAAAACAAAGCAGATTTGCCTAAATAACACCAAAAATTTTTGACATTTATTTTTTGACAATGACTATTTAATTAAATCTTGTAGAAAATGTCCATTAATGACCTTTAAATGGTAAAATTTAAAAAAATTATACAGGACATTGATAGATTACTAATCTAACCCATTGCCTAAAATTATTTTCCACTATACAACGTGTCTCAAAAATAAGTTACAATACAAACTTAGGTTTTTTCAAAAGAAACACTATATGTTTCTTAGCGTTTTTGGATGTAGATTTTTATGATGACTATATTTTTATTGGTTGATTTTGCGTAGTTTTAAAAATAAGACGTTTTTTTGACGAAAACATGCACTTTTTAAAAATTTATTACACAAAAACTAACATTAGAAATATTTTTTTTTTACTACCGCAAAGAAGAAGGTACAAGCTATAAGGTTGTAACATTTTTTTAGTGTGTTGCATTTGCAAAGATAAAAAAATGAAGGCGTTTGTTAAAAGTTCAATAACTTAAAAAATTTAAATGGAAGACCCTATTTATTGTTTTTGCATTTAAAAGATTATTAAATTGTCTTTATAAAATTATTGTGTGTTTATAATCAATAACTAAAAAGATATTTAACGTTAAACATTAAAAAAAATAATTACTATTGTTTCAGTAACCAAAAAAAAAGCACAGTTGCACAAGAGATGGAAGAAATATCACTTAATAATCACATTTGTGTTAAACTGAATCCATTATTCTTTATTTTTACAATAAAATAATTCGAATTTCAGTATTTATAACGATTTTTACAATCTCTGGAGAAATCAACGGATAAGTTATTTAACTTTTAACAAACTTCTTAATTTATTAATCTTTACAAATGCAAAACATTAAAAAATTGCTACAGCTTTAAATTCTGTACTTTCTTCTTTTGCAAAAGTAAGAAAAAATGTGTTCTAGTTGTCTTATTTTTGTGTAATAAATTTTTAAAAAGTGCATGTTTTTGTCAAAAAAACGTCTTATTTCTAAAACTAAGGAAAACCGACTAATAAAAGTTTGTTTTAAAAGGCTACATCCAAAAATGCCAAAGAACATATGGTGTTTCATTTAAAAAAAAAAAACACAAGTTTGTATCCTAACTTATTTTTGGTACATGCTGTATGGTTAAAAATAATTTTAAAAATTATTAAAAAATTTGCCAATAAAGGCAAATAATATTAAACAGTATCACAATTTAGGTTACAACTTTTTTTTTATTCTTTATTGTTTCCTCTCCTGTAGCAAAAAAACTTGGAAAATTATTTTTCCGACAAATAAATAGTCAAAATGCAAAATTTAAACGCTCATAATTTTGAAATTTGTATAGATAGAATTTTTTAACATTTTTTCCATGGATGCGAGTTCTGGCGCACTTGTATACAAAAAAATACCATTAATTCAGTGTTTCTAATGGATTTTTTTGTCACAAACATTATAAGCAATTGTTCCGGGTTACGAAAATACTTATTTAAATTAAATAATGTTAATAAACAAGTAAAACCTTTTCTCAGATGTAACAAGTTGATTTTTGATTTAAATTAAATTAAATTGACGCCACATCCGCTTCCTCAATCTTAATTTCATTCGCAATTGGTGATTCTTAAGATGAAGTAAAGTTGTGGTCTATTAATTTTTATCAATTTGTATTTAATTATTTCACTATCTAAACAATTACTACCTTTACGTGAATTACACAATTTATCTTTATTAAGTGTAAAGAGTCTAGTATTACAAAAATGATTTTCTTAAATTTGAAAGTTAGAAGATTTACGTTTTTTTACCGTTTTATGCCAGTATTTCCTATGATGATGATTAGTCAAGCATGGTCGTGTTCCAAATTTTTCTCACTACAATATTCAACGGAAATAAGGTTTAATGTTTACTCAGAGACGTGTAATTAACAATATTCGCAATTAAAAGATTTTTTTCGGTTTTTCCCAATGACAAATAAAAATACATTGTTCAAAGAAACGTCCACGTTTAGGAAAGACCTAGATTTTTTTTCAATACTTTGGATTATTAATTATTTATTACGCACTATGGGTGAAAGTTTAACAAATCTATGAACGCAAGTCTAGACTCCAATTTAAATTTACTTTCTGTAGTTTCTATCACAATAATTTACCAAAATCAATAAGAACAGCATTGTGATCGTGAATAAATCCGTCACGCTCTGATAACACGAATAAAAATCGAATGCTTAGTATTTTATAAGAGTAATTCCATGCCAAAACGTCTGATTTTCGTAAATTTGAGATATTTTATAGAACGTGTAAAAATAAGTGACACGTATTTCACCGTTTTTTATTTTTTCAATGTATGTTGAAAAAACAGGGATGTACAATATTAAGTATCGGAGCAAAAAGAATTTTTATCTAAAGAGCAAATCAACATATTGAAACGATTTTTTTTTTAATAATAGATATAAATAGGTACATTACGGACGTAATAATAAATGTATTCTAAAAATTTGTTATTAACAAGTAATTTAAAAATATATTGTTTAAACAAAAAAATAAACAATTACGCAGGTTTTTAAAATTTTCAAAAGCTCTCACATTTTTACTATGTCTTCACATAAGTTTAAAAAATGGCTGAAAAAATTTTTTTTTAGATCATAGGGCATGATCCCCTGAGATCGCCTGAAAGTAGCATTTCCTTGGAAATTAAATAGAAAAATTACCAATTACGTCACTAATAAACTAAAGAAAACACTTAATTTCCAATAACATATTAACATTTATTTTTCAAAAAATATCAATAATAAAAACAAATTCTTCGGTTGAGTAAATATTTCACAAATATTTCACATATTACGTTTTGCTATACAGGGTGTGTAAAAATTCCCGGACCAACGTGACATGGCATGTAAGGTAAGATACCAGGAACATGAAAAAAATGTTAAAAAAATTCAATCTGTCAAAAAAAATACATTTTTTTTGAAATTTGACATTTTTTATGTCTACTTAATTATATTGATGATCTTGTATATGTTTTTTTATAATTATTTAATAAAGGTACAATAATTTTGCCAATAAAAGCCACAAATAACATTAGATAGAGTTACAATTTAGGATACAGCTTCCTTGTTTCCTTTTCTAATAGCCTGTAGCAAAAAAACATAGAAAATTATTTTTCCAACAGAAACAAAATTGAAACTCTCATAACTTCGAAATTTTTATAGATAGATTTTTTTACATTTTTTCCATGCTCCTGGTATTTTACCTTTCGTTGGTCCGGGACTTTTGACACACCCTGTATAATCTAATCGACAAGTTGAAAGACTGCGATTTATTAAATGATCATTTTAGTCGAGCGAAGCGAAAGCTACATACTTTTATTTTAATATCAGAAAATAGAATAAAAAAAATAGAGAGTACTCTTTCTCAACCGAGGAATTTATATTTATTATTGATATTTTTTGAAAAATAAATATTAATAAGTTATTGGAAATTACGTGTTTTCTATACAACAGTTTACTAGTGACGGTGATTAGTAATTTTTGTATTTAATTTCCAAGGAAACGCTACTTTCAGGCGATCTTAGGGGATCATGCACTATTTTTTTTTCAGCCATTTTTAAAACGTCCGTCTTGAAACTTATGTGAAGAAATAGTAAAAATATGAAAGTTTTTACATAAATTTTTGAAGAATTTTAAAAACCTGCGTAATTGTTTATTTTTTTGTTTAAACAACATTTTTAAATTATTAGTTAATAACTAATTTTTAGAATACATGTATTATCAGGTCCGCAATGTACCTACTTATATCTATTATTAAAAAAAATGTTTCAATATTTTGATTTATTATTTAGATACAAATTATTTTTGCTACGAGGTAATTTTGTACATCCCTGTTTTTCCAACATAAAATACGTGGCATTCATTTTTACATATCTCAAATTTACGAAAATCAAAAACAACGAGTTTTAAAAGTGATCGTTTTGGCATGGAATTACTCATAAATGATATAATAGAAGGTATTCCATTGTCTTCCTTTTTCAAATACGAGAAATTTATAATTAATTATGAATTAAAATATCAGGAAATTAATATAGAGTTGAAAGTGTAGTGCAACCTCTCTCTTTATTGGAGATTGAAAACAAACTGCGAAGAAATTTTTTTGAAAAAAAAAAAACGATTTTTAACGCGTAATATGCGAAATTTGAATATTTAATTGAATAAATATCTTCTTCCTAAGAAACCGCGATAAGCAGTTCGCTGTTTTAAAATGTATTAGTGTTTGACTTAATAAAGCATGAATAATAATTAGAAAATTTTCGCTTTTTTATCGTCAAATAATTCGAGTCGGTATATATAAGGTGCTCGATCACTTTCATTCAATTTTACCACAACCGTAACCATGAATCTGAAAATTTTAAGCGTGGTTTTGCCAGTAATGTTCGTGCATTCCCAAGGATATTTAAGTGAACGGAAGATCGACTACTATGTGCGATTAATAACAAAAGCGAATGAAAACGCAATGACATATCAATTACCCAAAAATGCGTACGAATACTATACTAAAGCAAGACAGCAAAGTGAGTAGTGTGACCATTTCTTGTATTTTTGGTAATTTGATTAGAGTTCGGAACTTTCGATTTTGTGGTAATTGGTGCCGGAGCTGGAGGAACGGTTGTCGCAAATCGCTTGAGTGAAATCGCTAATTGGAATGTCCTTTTGCTTGAAGCTGGAGGATACGGAAATGACTTTTCCGACATCCCCAACATGTATTTCCCGATACAATTTAGTCATTTTAATTGGGGGTACAACAGCACTCCCCAAACAACAGCATGCTTAGGTCAGTATAAAAAAAACATGAACAGTCGGGCAATTAATAAATATACAGGGTGCGCCAGAGAAAAATGCCATGTAAAGTAAGATACCAGGAATATAGAAAAAATGTTAAAAAAGTTATGAGAGTTTAAATTTTGCACATTGACTGTTTATTTTTACTTATTGGAAATTTTTTTTTACTCTGTTTAATGTTATTTGTGGCTTTTATTGGCAAAATTTTTGTACCTTTGCCAAATAATTATGAAAAAAACATATACAAGATCATCAGTATCATTAAATAGACATAAAAAAAGTTAAATGTCAACAAATAAATGTCAAAGTTTTATGACAGAATTTTTTTTTAATTTTTTCCATGTTCCTGGTTCTTACCTTACTTGAAAATTTTTTCTGGGGCGCGAGTTCTGACACCCTGTATTTAATTGAAATAATTAATTTTATAATGCTCATGTTGTAACATTTTTCACAAATTAAAATACTATGACTTCAATTCTTTAAAAGTTTCAAACTCCAACATATTTTTTTATGAATTATTTTTATTACATAAAATCGCATAAAATATCTCCCATTTTTACAGAAAAGAACCATCAATTAATTAAATTGTTGGAGGTTTTAGTTTTAAAAACTTTATGTAACACAAAAAATCAAACATCAAAATAACTGAATAACTGGTTGTATAGAGTTTATACGGGGTTTTAAAAAAAGATGGTAAGATATTTCAGGAGGTAATAGTATGGACCAAAACAAACAAAAAAGTCGTAATAAGCTTGGGTCTGCAAAGTAACGGTTTCGTACTGAGAAAAAAATTAAATACACAATTTAAAAAAATTAAATTAAAACTGAGGATGTTGGAAAAAACTAAAGAAAATGAAGATGATGATGAAGGAAAAAAGATTTAATTGACAGTTTCTTAATAATAATAATAATAATATTTTTTATAATAAAGCGGCTTTATTGAATTGTATCTACAAATAATTACAACTCGGGAGGTGAAGTTTAGCAACTGCTATTCGTACTTAACCCCCTTAACAAAAAAAATAAAAGAAATAATAGTAAATCAAATAAACAGAAAAATAAATTAATAAAAAATGAAAAAATATGCCAAAAACAAAAATGAAAAATTGCATTAAAGTTTAACTGATATTAAAAAAAAACTACTGAAGAAGAAATAAAACAATAAGAAAAAATAACAAAA